CAGTGGCTGGAGCTCCTTGGCAGGCTTAGCGATGTCCCAGCAGAACCGGAGCGCAGTTGCAGCAGGCCTAGGAGGAGATCAGTGGAGAGCAGGGCGTGAGGCCAAGGGCAGCCCTTCCCCAGCTACCACTCCTAAGCCGCACTGCACAAGGGCAGGTGCCAAGGGGTCTTGGGCGAGTGGGTGGCTCTCCTCTCTGCGCTCCGTCCTTGGGGTGCTGCCTTGCCCAAGAACACATGCTAGGTGGCAGACCCAGGAAAGGACTGGCGCAGGCCAGGAAAAGTCTGGGCTCTGGCTGGGGGCGGTTCTGCCCGGGGGCGGGCATCCCTTCACCCTTCATCCCTTCTCCACAAGGAGAAGCAGGTGCCACCACAGCCCTGAAGGCCCATGCTGTGTGTGCTTCGGTCTCAGCGAGGGAGCTTGCTATGGGTTGCGCCTCCTCAGAATTTTGTGTCCGGGTCCACAGCCCCCTCAGGCTACGCCACCATGAAGATGCCCTGAAACAGCATAACAGCAGCTTGAGTAGGCTCACTTACGCCTCCCTTCAAAGCTTTCTTGGCCATAGCTCGGTAGCAGAGCCAGGATTCGACCCCAGGAATCTCCAGTTAGCAGGGCTGAGAATGACCTCTGAGTGGCTGAGGTAATGGCTGGCAGTCAATTCTAGGCTTGCCATATTTCAAAAAGTAAAAACCAGGACACCCCAAAAGTTCTTCTTTTTTTACGAAAATGCAAAAAATAAATAAATGTGATTTTTCAATCCGAGACAAACCGCTGCCTTCTGGAAATCCCCCCGGCCATCACTTCAGCCTTTGAAATCCTGGTAATGTCCAGCAAAATCCGGATGTATGGCATCCCTAATTTAGACGAAACTGGACCAATTGAACCATTGGTCTGGCTTGGGTAACTTCTAGGCAACCTGCTTATTGAGCATTCATTTTGAGTTTATTTGTTTGTGTCAAGCAATGTCCACCCCACACTTTTTCAGTGCCTTGTCCTGCTGGTTTTCCTGTCGTGCTGCGTTGGTTTATTATACGTGTACTTCTTGAAAACATCAGAGCCTGGAGTTTGCTCAGAAACAATCGCGGCATGCATAGCTAGCTGAAGGAAAAATCACTTGGGAACTTAACTCTCCTTTCGTTTTAAACAATGGGTGGAACTCAGTGTAGGACTACGTGGGTTATGCGTGTGGGAAATGAGATCTGCTTGAGCCATAGCTGTGAACCGTCCTTTATTTGGTGGGAAAGTCCCTTATCCCCGCACTGTGTCTTGCTGCTGTCCCTTATTGATGATGTCCCTTAAATTTCCCGGGTTTCAAAGGAAGCAGCTCCTCTCCCTCCCTCCCTGCTGGCCAGGGAGGAGGGAAGCTCCAACTGCGTTGCTTGGCTGCATTGCTCACCCAATAAGAAGTCTAAGAACGACTGGGGGGTGGAGCTTGCATTCTTTCTACCAATCAAATTGGCTGTGTTGCCTGGGGACTCGCCTTTGCTCAGCGCTTCCCAGCGGAGAGGTGACGGTGGTTTTCCTTGCTGCATCCCCTTTCCCAGGTTGCTGCACTGTGGGAACCACCGCTTGAGGCTTCGTTTGGCTGCTGATTGACTAAAATCCCTTATTTTGGCTGCTGATCCCTTATTTTTGAGGCTGCTGGTCCCCTATTTTCAAATCTGTAAGTTGACAGCTATGGCTTGAGCACCAAGACTTCACTACCCCTGTCTGATCCCTGCACCCCTTAAGCGTGCTATGGGTTTCCCCCCAATCCCGCAGGGCAGATTTGGGGGCGCACAGGGGAGGAGGAGGGATGTCTTTTTGCATGAGAGGACCTTGCTCTGTGCGTGCAACAACTCAGCTGAATCCCATCCAGTGTGGCTAATGAGTGTCATGAAACTGCCATATCTTTTGGTTAAAACTGAAATGGAGGCTTCAGGAGAAGTGAATCAGGGATGCTATTTTGGGAAGGTGGCAGCTGTTGCTGTTTCTGTATTTCAAAGCGTAGGAGCACCTGCATTTCAGGGATGGCTAAATCTTTCGGGCTGGGGGCCACATTGATCCACAGTCAACCCTCTGTAGGCCACCTTTCAAAGTGGGCCTGTTCAAGTATAAAAATGAGGATTTAATTGCGGGGGAAAGAAAACGTTTATTTGGGGAGTGGTCCTCACAAACACTTGGGCTTCACTGAATCACAGTAGGGGGTCAGCAAAACTTTTTTTTTAAAGGACAAATTAGGGAATCTGAGAAGGCCACAAAAAAAAAGTGTCAGAATGGTATACCTGTGAGAATAGTCAGGGGAATTTTTTTTGCAGCTTTCAGACCAAGACACTTTATGCCTGTAGCCGTTTCTGGTCTTTCTCTCTCTCAGCCAGATAGTCCATGGTTGGTTTACCAGATTGCTCTCTGGTCTACTGATACTGTTATTAAATGCCAGCACAATTTATAATAACATCTTCTTCAGCCGTGTTTTAATTGCAAACACTGGTTGAGCCCAGACTTGAGGGCTGAGAAGAATGGTTGCTAAAAATTATCAGAATGGTTTCTAGGCTTTCTGTTAATTTGTGTGCCAATCTGGAGTGCTTATATTTTGTGTTGGGCTCTTTGGACAGCTGAGGGAATCTGCTGGTGTACCAGTCACTCTCCTGCCCATGACACTGTCAGGGAATATTTCATTTGGTGTCCTGAGTTTATTAAGGGAGAAGCTCAACTTCCGTGTCAAGGCTGCTGTAGCTGCAAGAGCGCAAGACTTCATGGCTGCCATGGCAACTGTGGGGCTGTCCCAATTTGTCATCGGCTCTAGTCATGTTGCAGGACACACTGTCAGTTTGGTTTTCTCTAGTGGGAAGGAGGATGATATGAAAGTGGGTCTAGTCCCTTGTCATCATCAGATCACATCCTGTTGAGGTTTAGGCTTGCGGCAACTGTTCCTTTCGGGAAGGGTGAAGGACCTATTACAACAGTCCATTTATAGAGGCTAGCGGACTCCAATGAATCCCAGATTGCTTATGGGGATTTTCTGATTGGTGTGGCTGTTGCGCCTGTCAAATCCCTGGCTGTGTTGTGTGATGCAGAGATGACCTGAGCAGTTGTCATGGTTGCTCCAAAGTGTTAAAAGGGTGGCGCTGTGGTCTAAACCACTGAGCCTCTTGGGCTTGATGGTCAGATGGTCGGTGGTTCGAATCCCTGCAACAGAGTGAGCTCCCATTGCTCTGTCGCGGCTCCTGCCAACCTAGCAGTTCAAAAGCACACCAGTGCAAGTAGATAAATAGATACTGCTGCGGCGGGAAGGTAAACGGCATTTCTGTGCGCTCTGACTTCCGTCACAGTGTCCTGTTGCACCAGAAGCAGTTTAGTCATGCTGGCCACATGACCCAGAAAGCTGTCTGTGGACAAATGCCGGCTCCCTTGGCCTGAAAGCGAGATGAGCGCCGCAACCCCAGAGTCACCTTTGACTGGTCCTTTACCTTTACCAGAGTGGTCCTTTACCTTTTTACCTCCAACGTGTTACCTCTCCCTGTGTATATTACTAAATACATTTTACTCTTCTCCAATATGGGAATGGCAGGTGGTCATGCAGCAAGATAATTCTGAAAACACAGCCTGCACAGCTGCATCACTCCAGCTACCCAAAGTCCAAGGTTGGAGATAGAAAGCAATGCTTTAAAATAGAATTGCTAACCAACTTCATTATCTAAAAAAACAGCAGGCGATAAGGTGCAGAAAGCAGTTGCAACATTGCTATGTTGCATGATACTAGTTATCATTATGATACTAGTTATCATTAACACATTGATAACACCATCATTGCTAGGTAAATACTGTATCATTATTATCAGTATACCTGAAGGAGCATCTCCACCCCCATCATTCAGTTCACTGAGGTCCAACTCCGAGGGCCTTTTGGCGGTTCCCTCACTGTGAGAAGTCTAGTTACAGGGAACCAGGCAGAGGGCCTTCTCAGAAGTGGCACCCGCCCTGTGGAACGCCCTCCCACCAGATGTCAAGGAAATAATCAACTACCTGACATTTAGAAGACATCTGAAGGCAGCCCTGTTTAAAGGTAAAGGTAAAGGTACCCCTGCCCATACGGGCTAGTCTTGCCAGACTCTAGGGTTGTGCGCCCATCTCACTCTATAGGCCGGGAGCCAGCGCTGTCCGGAGACACTTCCGGGTCACGTGGCCAGCGTGACATCGCTGTTCTGGCGAGCCAGCGCAGAACACGGAAACGCCGTTTACCTTCCCGCTAGTAAGCGGTCCCTATTTATCTACTTGCACCCGGGGGTGCTTTCGAACTGCTAGGTTGGCAGGCGCTGGGACCGAGCAGCGGGAGCGCACCCCGCCACGGGGATTCGAACCGCCGACCTTTCGATCGGCAAGCCCTAGGCGCTGAGGCTTTAACCCACAGCGCCACCCGGGTCCCTGTTTAGGGAAGTTTTTAATGTTTGATGTTTTATCGTGTTTTTAATATTCTATTGGGAGCTGCCCAGAGTGGCTGAGGAAACCCAGCCAGATGGGCGGGGTATAAATCATCATCATCATCATGCTTTGTCGTATGCTGCTTCTGCTACCCCAGCGATGCTTCAGCCATGCTTACCCTCTTTTTCCGTGGCCTGATTCTGTTTTTGAAATATACTCAGAGTCGCAAAGTGATTTCATGCTCTTTATTCAGCTCATAGTGGTGAGGAGGAATGAATGAATGTCCCCTCAAAGTATCTGCTTTATATACATTATTTACACAATGGGCTGCACATGATTGGCTAATTCCGGAATTCTACTGTAAGCCAATCACGTTGTGGATTCACTTCTATCTGGAGCATGATTGGGTAGTTCCTGCCAACCAATCATACTGCTGCATTGTTCTAGGACCAATCAGACTGCTGCATTCTGAATCCTATTGTTCTAGGACCAATCAGACTGCTGCCTTTTGGATCCTATTGTTCTAGGACCAATCAGACTGCTGCAGTGTGGATCCTATTCAACTCAGTACATAACAGTTTTTCATCCCTCCTTCTCCCCAGGTGGTACCATGGTCATCTTTCTGGCCCAGCTGCTGAAACCTTACTCCAAACTAAGGCTGCTCCATGGACTTTCTTGGTTCGCGAGAGCCTCAGCAAGCCGGGTGACTTTGTGCTGTCTGTCCTCACCGACCAGCCTAAATCTGGGGGTGATGCCACTGGAGCCGCTAGCACCCCCAAAGAACGACTTAAAGTTACTCACGTCAAGGTTATGTGTGAGGTGAGAAACTTGTGGAAAGGTGGCCGAGGGGCGGGGAGACAGAAAACAACCTCTTTCCCATCAGCACCCTTAGATGGCATGTTTCTCTTTGTCATGGTCTCAAAATTAAGAGACAACCAGGAATCCAGTGAGCCTAATTTATTAATTAATTTTAATTACTATTTTATTCATCACATTTGTATGCCTCCCATCTTGGAATTTTTGTGAGGACTTCATCCTCCCCCACTTATTATATATTCAATTTGCATACCACCCTTCATCCGGGGGCTCTTAGGGCGGTCCACAATATAAAAATGCAATATCAAACACAGACTACATAATAAAAACAAGAACAGAACAAAACCAATAATCCCCCCTCCCAAGGCCTTTGTAGACCAGGGGGTCTCAAGGCAGTTTGCAGAATAAAATCAAGATACAAAATCACAAAATACCTAATAAAAATAAAAACAGCAACCCAATACTCCCCTCCACACAAAAAAACCAAAAACATTTTAATCCGATTTTAAAATGTTTTTGGGGTTTTTTTGGTGGAGGGGAGTATTGGGTTGCTGTTTTTATTTTTATTAGGTATTTTGTGATTTTATATCTTGATTTTATTCTGCAAACCAAAGGCGTGGTTAAAAAGGAACATTTTCACCTGGCGCCTAAAGGTGTATAATGAAGGCGCCAGGGGAACCTCCCTGGGGAGAGCATTCCACAAATGGGGAGCCACTGCAGAGAAGGCCCCATTCTCGTGTTGCCACCCTCCGGACCTCTCGAGGAGGAGGCACACGAAGAAGGGCCTCATAAGATGATCTCAGGGTCCAGGCAGGTTCATATGTGAAGAGGCGGTCCTTGGGGTATTGCTGTCCTAAGCCATTTAAGGCTTTATAGGTCAAAAGCAGCACTTTGAATTGGGCCTGAAAACTAATGGGTAGCCAGTGCAGTTGGACCAGGATCGGTGTAATATGCTCAAACTGTCTTGCCCGGGTGAGCAACCTGGCTGCCGAATTCTGCACTTCTCTTGTCAGCAACTCTGTGCAGTAAGTTGAGATGGAGATGGAGATGGAGATGGAGATGGAGATGGAGATGGAGATGGAGATGGAGATGGAGATGGAGATGGAGATGGAGTCACTAGCTCAAGAACAAGCAGTAAGCTTTGTGGCTGAGTGGGGATTTGAACCATCTCTTTCCGATCTAAGGCCAGCAAAGCCATCACACTGCATTAGATCTTCTCACTGCCTTTAAGTGCCTGTTGCTGCAGCTGGTTAAACAACCAAGCTGTGAGGGGGAATAGGATGGGTGTTAGATGAATGGGGCACTAACCACCATGAAGTTCTTCTGGGGAACTCCGTTGAAACAAATAGGAGTTGCGTAAGAAAACAATACAGGTGCACACACATCCATTTATGGAGGGATGACATTCCGAGTCATTGTGCATGTTGGTGAAGCACCATAGCTGTCAACTTTCCCCTTTTCTTGCGAGGAATCCTATTCGGAATAAGGGAATTTCCCTTAAAAAACGGGAAACGTTGACAGCTATGGTGAAGCACACGTAATCCTGCCTCAGCCCATTCCGCCCCAGTCCTTTCCTCTTCCAGTGCAAAACATGGCGTGTGCATGCTCAGTGCGCATCAAACACATGCAAAATGGCAGTTGCCTGTAGTGGTATTTTGAGATCTCCCAATTCATTTCAACAGCAGAAAGTCTTGGTCGATTGTGTCTCGTGTTAATTGGTGTATGCATGTTAAATGTGAGGGTTGTTACCTGCGACTGGTTCTGGTCATAACCTCCCAGATCACTGGAAATACAACTGGTCAGCAAAAAATTATGCACGGGAGAAGCGTGTTACATATATAAGGGACATGACTAATGATATATATTTTATTTTCCTCCAGAAGGGGAAGTACACAATTGGGGGCACAGAGAGGTTTGGCAGCTTGGCTGACCTGGTGGAGCATTTTAAGAAAACGGGAATTGAAGAGGCCTCTGGATCCTATCTGTATTTGAGACAGGTACTGATATAGAGATACACAGAGAAGTGTAGACCACGTCTGCTTTACCCATCCCATTTTATTTTCTCTCTTATTTGTAACATTTGTTAGATGTTTCTCTAAAACAACTGAAGCATAGCTGTCAACTTTTCCCTTTTCTTGCGAGGAATCCTGAAATATACTCAGAGTCAAGTGTGGATTTCATGCTTTTTATTCAGCTCATAGTAGTGAGGAATGGAAGTTACCCCAAAATATAAATAAAATTTATTATTATTAATATCTGTTTTATATACATTATTTACACAATGGGCCACACGTGATTGGCTAATTCCGGGATTCTCCTGTAGGCCAATCAGGTTGCGGATTCACTTCCACCTGGAGCTGGATTGGGTGGCTCCTGCGGACCAATCATATTGCTGCATTGTTCTAGGACCAATCAGACTGCTGCATTCTGAATCCTATTGTTCTAGGACCAATCAGACTGCTGCCTTTTGGATCCTATTCAACTCAGTACATAACAAATCCTATTCGGAATAAGGGAATTTCCCTTAAAAAAAGGAAAAGGTTGACAGCTATGAATTGGAGGAACACACAATTAATGAGAAAGAATTTAGACAATGTCATTTGTTGGGGTCAAAACCCAGGATCCTCAAATTAAAAACAAACTTTTTCTATCCCATGTTGTTATGTGATGTGATCTATGGAAAGTAATATGATGCATGTTTTTTGTTTGTTTTTAAGTCATCTCGGTTACGTGGCTTTTCAAAAAATTGGAACATCTATGGTTTGGGCCTAAACCTTTTTCCTTTAGCTGGAATTTTTTTTTTTGCAAGGGATTGTGATTGCGAAGCAGTTTGGGGAAATACAAGTAATTGGCTTAAATTTCATTCAGTGAGATGGACAGATTTGTGGAAAATTTCTAATGTATTTTTTAAAAAAATATGAAGTTTTTTTGCAGATGAGGATGGGGAAAAAGCTGCCACATTTCCACAGCTTTCAAGTATTATTGTTATGTTGTAAGAAGGATCATGCAGCAGAATCAAATTGGCAAACTGGAGTTATCTTAAACACAGATTTTGTTAAAGCCAGTGGCAAGGGGGAAATTATCTAATACATAAGGAAGTGTTGATGGCATTAGATCAGAAAGACTTGTAGCTGTATGGAGAAGCAGAATAAGGAAAGTAGCAGAAGTAGAATATCAGTTTTAACTGTAGATCTGGAAAGTAGAAAGACTGGTCTCTGATTAACTTTAAGAGGCTAATTTTCAGATGGTAGCAACAATGTCTGGTGGAGTTGCCCTTGTACAAGAAACTATGGACAGTAATTTCATGAATTATGGTCACACATTACAGAATCCCTCTGGAGTAAACTCCAAAACTGGTGAACAAATGATGTAGCAACCACAGTCATTTTAACAACAAGAGGGTGTGTGTGAGTATTTCAACAATTAAGAGTGAAGATTTAGGACATAGCCTTAATGGGGAGAAACACTGTTTATATGAATTTCGGGGTTAATGACCAAGAAGTTTCAAAGTAAGTCATGAATACTTATTTATTTTTGGAGAGGTGTTTAACATTTTTTATGTCACTGTAGCAATGGCATAAAATGCTACAGTGACTGTGATAAGATAGTTTAACAAATTGCAACACATTATAAGATACAGTGTATGAATTTATTAGAAATCGTCTATGACCCTTTATTCTTTTATGTGCTTTTTCCTTCAGTTTTTCTCGTACAGATGAATTAAAATATTCATTTTAAAATACAGTCGTACCTTGGAAGTCGAACGGAATCCGTTCCGGAAGCCCTTTCGACTTCCAAAACGTTCGGAAACCAAAGCGTGACTTCTGATTGGCTGCAGGAAGCTCCTGCAGCCAATCAGAAGCTGCAGAAACCCCGCCGGACGTTCGGCTTCCAAAAAACATTTTGATGGACAGCTTCAAGGCTCCTCCTCTCCCTTTTTCTGGAATCTTATTGTTCAGCCTGACTTGGACTGGAAAACCCTCACGTGGAGGATACCTTCAAAATAGAGGGCTGCCATATGTAAAGTGGGCCACAGAGACACCTTGGGATAGCAGGAACTGATTGTAGCTCAGTCAGTAGAGCATGAGACTCTGAATCTCAGGGTTGTGGGTTCAAACCCCACCTTGGGCAAAATATTCCTGCATTGCAGGGGGTTGGACTAGATGACCCTTGTGGTCCCTTTCAACTCCTGAAATATACCCCCAGTCACGTAGTGATTTCATGCTCTTTATTGCAGCTGGTAAAACAGTGAGAGTGAAGCCCCCCCCCAACCTTAGGCTTTATATACATTATTTACACAATGGGTTCTGTCTGATTGGCTGATCCTGCTTCCCTCCTGGAGCCTGATTGGGCTGCTACTGCAGGCCAATCAGTTGTTGCATTCTAGGATCCTACCAGCCTATTGTTCTAAGATCCAAACTCAGTACAGTGGTACCTCGGGTTAAGAACTTAATTCATTCCGGAGGTCCGTTCTTAACCTGAAACTGTTCTTAACCTGAGGTCCCACTTTAGCTAATGGGGCCTCCCGCTGCTGCTGCCGCCGCGTGATTTCTGTTCTCATCCTGAAGCAAAGTTCTTAACCTGAGTTAAGCGGAGTCTGTAACCTGAAGCATCTGTAACCCAAGGTACCACTGTACACAACAACTCTATGATTCTATGTTCCCCTTCTCCTTCAACTGATCATTTTTCTCTCTCCTTGGTGGATGTCCCCCCCCCATTCCCCCTCCCATCTCATGGGGAAAAGTAGCTGCCAAGCAATGAGATAAGCAGCCCAGACTCTGGGTTTGTGGGTGGGAGAGCTCTGCTCCTTGACTTTATCTTTTTCTTGTCTCCAGAGAGACCTGTTTGTTTCTCACATTTCCCCTTCTTTCCTTCCTTCCTTCTTTCCTCCCCTCCCACTAGCCTTTCAACGCCACCCGGGTGAATGCAGCCGACATTGAGGACCGGGTGCAGATGCTTGAGAAGAGAAGCCAAGAGGAAGAAGCTGCCAAAGGAGGTTTCTGGGAGGAGTTTGATGTGAGTGGCGAACGGTGGGGCTTCCTCTTCCTCGTGATGCGTTATGGAGTCTCCCTACTCCTGTCCTGGTTCTTGGCTTATCCCCACCTCAACTGGGGGTGGTGTACTGACGCATTCACAAGACCTTATTGTTTCGACCGCTAGCATTTTTAGAATGCACTCATGTATAAAGTCATGTGCATCCTGACACATCCTAAGAAAAGTTAAAGCAGTTTACAATAATATATCTATATAATAAAAACAGAAAAGAATTAAAATCGGAGGGCAGCAACTAACTGTGATGGAGAGATGTGTTCTCAATTGCCTGCAAAAGTGGAATAGAAAAGTTTTTGGCAGGAGTTTAAAGGATAAAGCAGAAGACACTTGCTGGAACTCTTAATGGAAGAGCATTGCAGAGGACTAGGCCAATGACACTAAAGCCTATTTTGTGTTGATTAGGGCTGGGCAATAGATGGTTTTCAACTTTGTGATCTATCACCAGCTAAACATTACAATATACTGATTTATCACAATGTCTGAAATAAGGATAGAGCTATGTACAGGCACTGGCTGGCTTCACAGTTTTCCCCACATTGTGATTTTTGCATAGCGCTTGCACACACACACACACACACACAGAGAGAGAGAGAGAGAGAGAGAGAGAGAGAGAGAGAGAGAGAGGGACTGAGTTGCAATACATTGTCAGGTCAAAAATGATATATAAAAAAACCAATTTCATGATATAGACTTGAAACTGGTTTTGGACGATATATCGCCCAGCCCTAGCACACATCATGTAACCGATATCACAGTATGGACTTCAAACTGGTTTGGGACGATATATTGATATACAGTGGTACCTCATTTTGAGTCTGCCTCGTCGAGCGTTCATTTTGTCGAACGTTTGCGGTAAACCCAGAAGTACCGGAATGGGTTACTTCTGGGTTTCCTCTCACGCATGTGCAGAAGCGCTAAATCACACTTTGCGCATGCGCAGAAGCGGCACTTTGTTGTGCGTCCTTTTCGTCTAGTGTCTGGGGATCCCGGACTCAGAACGAGGTACCACTGTATTGTCCAGCCCTAGTGTTGATGTCAAGTGAGCCTTGCCAACTTGGAAGACAACCAGCGACAGTGCTGGAGATTATTTCCATGTCACCGATGTGTATGGCACATCGCAAGCAAAAACACCTGCCCCAAGAGACTTATTATTTAAATTTTGATGCAAGAGAGGGAGGTGTGGGTGAGGGCGAACATGGATGCTTCCTCATGCTTGAGAGATGCTTCCTGCTGGTCACTTCTTGTTCTTGAGAGAGGTTGCCTGTGCCTCCTGCCTCCAATCCACAGGCAAGCACTAACAGCACCTCTCAGCAACGCCATGGACAAGCTGAACCCATGAACCCCAGTTTTTAGATCTCTTTCTCTCCTCCAGCTGTAAGCCATGCTTGCCCTTATTAAACACTCCTCCATGCCTCTTCCCCTTTCAGAGCTTGCAGAAACAGGAGACGAAGAACTTGTATGAACGGCATGAGGGCCAAAGACCAGAAAACAAGGGCAAGAACCGCTATAAGAACATTTTGCCATGTGAGTCTGGAGTTCCACCTATCATTTGACCCAGAAGCTGGGCCTACACAGGCCACAGAGTCAGGTGCCAGAGGAGTCTGAGGCAGTGCTCTTTTTCAGCCAGAACTCAGTTCCGGCACCTCTCAGGTGGGCTCCATTGCCATTCTAGGAGAATGAGGGAGGTGTTCATGGTGAGTTCTGGGACCTCTTTTTCTAGAAAAATAGCACTGGCCACAGGTAGTGTCGAATTTACGTATAAGCTAAACAAGCTATAGCTTAGGGCCCCACTCTCTTGGGGGGCTCCAAAATATTTAAAAGGGAAAAAACTGGATATACATTTCCAAAATATAAGATAAAAAACAAATAAAATAAAACCTACATACAGCAACAGTGTTTTGTGTTGTGTAGGTCCATAAATTACCATATAATAATAATAATTTTTTATTTGTACCCCGCCCTCCCCGGTTCAGAAAACTGGGCTCAGGGTTGCTAACAACAAATTTAAAACACTTAATTGTAAAAGCAGCATAAAATACAGTATAAAAACATGAATAACAATAAAATTCGAAGTTCAGAAATCAATTTGGGGGAAATCCATCTAATAAGCATTAGATAGTCACCAGGGCTAGCTGGCTGAATTAGTCCTACTTGGGCCAGCAAGGGGGCCAGGGGAGAATTAGCTGTGGGGTCTCAGAGCGGGTAATCTTCATTAAAGGGGGGGAGCATATATGCAACACAGGAAACAGCGACGATTTGTTGTTGACAAAGGGCAGCTGGACATATAAAGGGCCCCATTACCTTCAGTAACTTAAGGTAAAGGTAAAGGGACCCCTGACCATTAGGTCCAGTCATGACCGACTCTGGGGTTGCGGCGCTCATCTCGCTTTATTGGCCAAGGGAGCCGGCGTACAGCTTCCGAGTCATGTGGCCAGCATGGCGAACCAGAGCAGTGCACAGAAACGCCGTTTACCTTCCCGCTGGAGTGGTACCTATTTATCTACTTGCACTTTGACGTGCTTTTGAACTGCTAGGTTGGCAGGAGCAGGGACCGAGCAACGGGAGCTCACCCCGTTGCAGGGATTCGAACCGCCGACCTTCTGATTGGGAAGTCCTAGGCTCTGTGGTTTAACCCACAGCGCCACCCGCGTCCCCTTTCAGTAACTTAGGGCCTCATCAAACCTAAATCCAGCCCCGGTCACAGGACACATGCTGCGACCTCTGTTTGCATCTTGAACCCTGAAGAGAGTGGATTGCAAAAGCCCCTGTTGCATAGGGCATTCCTTAAGAGACATACTAACTGTGCTGCCTCCTCTTTTAGTTGACCACTCTCGAGTCATCCTCCAAGACAGAGATCCTGGGTCAGATTATATAAATGCCAACTACATCAAGGTGAGGAGCTGAGTCATGTCTTCCAGAAAGAAGGGTGGTGGCGGTGGTGGCGGATTTTTGCTCCAGGCCCTTTATATTTTACCTGTTTGCTCACTTGCAGAACAAGCTATTCAGCCCTGAGGAATGCAGCAAAACTTACATTGCCAGCCAAGGTTGCCTAGATGCCACCACCAATGATTTCTGGCAGATGGTGTGGCAAGAAAACTCGCGCATCATTGTGATGACCACTCGAGAAGTGGAGAAAGGAAGGGTAAGGAGGGGCAAGGGGGGGGGACATTCCTCTCCATCAATTCCTCCACCTTCTCAGCATACATTACATCTTTCTTGCTTGGTCTTCATCTCCTCCAGAATTGTGAGAAACTCCCTTGGAAGATTTATAGGGCTGGAGGTGCTGCCAAACATTCCACACAAATGCTGCACAAAAGCCAATTTCTTTGCCACAAAGCTCAGTTCCAGCAGAGAATTGCTTCACCTTTTCATGCTAACCCTTCGCTTCCTGCCACTTTGCTGACCTGCGGGGTTCCCCGCCCTGATCTGGCCACAGTGATCCACGCGACGGTCACCTCCAGGCTTGATTATTGTAACTCACTCTACGCGGGGCTGCCCTTGAAGCTGACCCAGAAACTCCAGCGGGTGCAGAATGCCGCAGCGAGGCTCCTTACGGGGTCCTTGCCGCAGGACCACATTCATCCAGTGCTTTACCAACTGCACTGGCTCCCGATGGAGTACAGGGTCAGGTTTAAGGTGCTGGTTTTGACCTTTAAAGCTCTAGGACCCTCATACATACGGGACCGCCTCTCCTGGTATGCCCCACGGAGGACCTTAAGGTCCACAAATGACAACATTTTGGATGTCCCAAGTTGCAAGGTGGTTAGATTGATCTCAGCTAGGGCCAGGGCCTTTTCAGTACTGGCCCTGACTTGGTGGAACGCTCTGTCACAAGAAACTAGGGCCCTGCGAGACTTGACATCTTTCTTCAGGGCCTGCCAGACAGAGCTGTTCCGCCTGGCCTTTGGGTTGGACTCAGTCTGACCCTTATGTTTCCCTCCCCTTATAGTTTTGATCTATGGGCTACTTTTAAAACGAGGCTGCATTTTAAATTGCATTTTAACCTGTATTTTAAATTGGTTTTTCTTTCCTATTATGTTTTTACTGTACTTTTACTGGTGTTAGCCGCCCTGAGCCCAGCTCTGGCCGGGGGGGGGGGGGAGGCAGAGTATAAATAAATTATTATTATTATTCACATGCACAAGGTGGGAAAGTGGATGTTGGGGGGCAGGGGTTTTTTCAGTGGTGGGGAAACCAGGACTGTGGAAAGATACAAACCAAGAGCCAAGAGAATGATGCAGTAGTCCCTCATTTGCGAAATGCCGTCCCTAGTGAGGTGTGCTTGTCTCCCTCATTATTGACTTCCGGAGGGGGGCGGGAAGGAATAAATAAATAAATAAACACCCAGACTTTGGATGGCTGGAAGTTCACTGTTTCTGGCAACCCTGAGGTCACTGGTTTTTAGGATGTTTTTAGAATGCTCCTTTGGGGTAAAGGGCAGGATATTCATTAATTAATTACATAAATATCCCATCAGCCCCAGCCAGGATGGCCAATAGCCTGAGGTGACAGAAGTCAGCAATATTTGGATGGGACCACATTGACTATCCCTGATTTAAGGGCTTCCTTCCTGTCTCCCTGCTGCTGCTTCTGTCTTCCAAATCACTCTGGTGAAGGAGTAGTCAAATCGTTTTTTTTATTACCCGTGTGCTGTTTGCATGTAATTGAACTCTCACCATCCTCAGGTGGTTATTTTGGTAGATTTCCTTCCAAGTTTTGCTTTAGGTGAAGAGGACAGCTGTGATCTTCTTCCCACTTTCTTTCTTTTTTGGGGGAGGTATTTAATCTTTATTGATTTTTTTAGTATACATCACAATTATCATTTCCCATCAGAGATGTACAAAAGGAGAAGAAAAAATGCTTGAATGCTGAAAATAAAATTATATAGTAAAGTATTAAGACTTCCCTCCACCCAAACGTGGGTCCTCTACAATTCTAGATTAACTGCATCCTGAATAACACCTAGTTTATACTTATCCAATATCTCCATAAGTTATGTCACCTTGCAGGAGTCATTCAAGGCCTGACAAATATTCCGGTTGTTCCCACTGTCACCCATCAAAACCTGATTTCTGTTTCCTAACAGAACAAATGTGTCCCTTACTGGCCAGAGGTGGGCAGCAGCAAAGAGTATGGGCCGTACATTGTGGAAAACATTGGAGAACACGATGCCTTAGAATATAAACTCCGACAGCTCTGCCTTTCATCAGTCCACAATGTGAGTACACCAAGCCTGGAGAACGTTCAGTGACTACTATTATCGCTACCAGTGCCGTCTTTAGCATATGTGCCGCTGGGGTACAAAGATCCGTACAGTGCCCCCAAATTGAGTTTGTTGTTGTTGTTGTTTAGTCGTTTAGTCGTGTCCGACTCTTCGTGACCCCATGGACCAGAGCACGCCAGGCACTCCTGTCTTCCACTGCCTCCCGCAGTTTAGTCAAACTCATGCTGGTAACCTCGAAAACACTATCCAACCATCTCGTCCTCTGTCGCCCCCTTCTCCTTGTGCCCTCCATCTTTCCCAGCATCAGTGTCTTCTCCAGGGAATCTTCTCTTCTCATGAGGTGGCCAAAGTACTGGAGCCTCAGCTTCAGGATCTGTCCTTCCAGTGAGCACTCAGGGCTGATTTCCTTAAGAATGGATGTGTTTGATCTTCTTGCAGTCCATGGGACTCTCAAGAGTCTTCTCCAGCACCATAATTCAAAAGCATCCATTCTTCGGCAATCAGCCTTCTTTATGGTCCAGCTCTCACTTCCATACATCACTACTGGGAAAACCATGGCTTTAACTATACGGACCTTTGTTGGCAAGGTGACGTCTCTACTTCTCAAGATGCTGTCTAGGCCTGTCATTGCCCTTCTCCCAAGAAGCAGGCGTCTTTTAATTTCGTGGCTGCTGTCACCAGCAGCCACGAAATTGAGTTTAGGTGCCCCCAAATTAACTTCCATTGACCTTTTTTGGGGGGGAGGGGAAATCGCTCACCTGTAACAACGATGTTACGGAGTATCAAAGCGATGGAGGATGGGGGCAGAGACTTTTGCTCCATTGCCGCCGATCGAGAGGGACCGGTATACAGTAGGTATACATTTGGCTCCCCCCAGAATTCGGCGCCCGGGTGCCACGCACCCCTTGTACACCTGGGTAAAGATGGCCCTGATCGCTACAAATATTGCTGAAAATAAGGACCTGCAGGAAAAAATATCCCAGCAGACTCTGGGATATTCCATCTCCATCTCTGGCACACAATCTACTCATACTTTTAATATTTTAAAAGTATATAAAATTTGTAAAGTATCTTAAAATTTGCAAAGTTATTTTTTTCTTTGTGAAAAATTAATAAATAAGTTTTTTAAAAAACAAAACAAAACACGAAAACACTGGGGTGCTGCAGTTTGGCTGTGATGCCAGCTGCGTCCTCTGTAATAACGGAGCACATGAATCATATATATTCTACAAAAAGAATTGCTAGTCCCCTGAAATGTCTGCTGCTGGTTCTGCCTTTCCTCTTTCTTCCCCCACTCCATCCCACAATACCTCTGTCAGCAGCTTCATTCGCTTTCCTCCAAGTGACTCCAGAGCTTCAGATTTCCATTCTTACCCTTTTCGCCTGATCACCTTCGTGAATCTGGGACCTCAAGGCCTGTGCAACACTGACGCTGTTACTAATTGGCTCTGGGACAATTACAGTGGTAACTGTTCTTAACCTGAAGCACCACTTTAGCTAATGGGGTCTCCTGCTGCTGCCACGCCGCCGGAGCACGATTTCTGTTCTCATCCTGAAGCAAAGTACTTAACCTGAAGCACTGTTTCTGGGTTAGCGGAGTCTGTAACCTGAAGCGTATGTAACCTGAGGTACAGCAGACAGACAAATTGCATCTTAACACGTGAAGCTCCTCTAATAGCCAATATGTGGAGACAGCAGAAATCTGCTTGGGCCCACCAGGCTCTTCAGATGGACTTCAGTTGGGGGGTGGCATAAGAGATGGGTTGCATCCAGTCTAAAGTTCTCCTCTTGAAATAAAAGCCTCTTATGGGGCTTGTGCAGGAGAACTTGCTTGCGGACTGTCCCTCGGGGGTCAGATTTGTCTGCCTCCCCTCTCTGGAGACAGTCGTCAAAGCCTCTGGGAGACAGACAGAGAGGAGCTGGGCCGATCTCATTCCTCCAGCCATCAGAGAGTTAGGAGAGCGTTGGGTTGCTTTCTCTAACTGTAAGCGTGATGGGAGAGAGCAAGCCGGTGGGTTGAGGGCTAGACAAAGGAGTTGCAGGCATGAACCCATATGAGGGTGTGATGTTGTTGCCCCCTGCCAGAGTGAGGCTGTGCGAGACATCTGGCATTACCAGTACCTGAGCTGGCCGGACCATGGAGTGCCCAGTGAGCCTGGAGGAGTCCTGGGCTTCCTTGACCAAGTCAACCAGAAGCAGGAGAGCATCCCTGGAGCTGGACCCATAATAGTTCATTGCAGGTGAGTGAGTTGGCACCATTGTGAATTAACGGCTGGATATGCAGCAGGGACGCGGGTGGCGCTGTGGGTAAAAGCCTCAGCGCCTAGGACTTGCAGATCGAAAGGTCAGCGGTTCGAATCCCTGCGGCGGGGTGCGCTCCCATCGTTCGGTCCCAGCGCCTGCCAACCTAGCAGTTCGAAAGCACCCCCGGGTGCAAGTAGATAAATAGGGACCGCTTACTGGCGGGAAGGTAAACGGCGTTTCCGTGTGCTGCGCTGGCTCGCCAGATGCAGCTTTGTCACGCTGGCCACGTGACCCGGAAGTGTCTCCGGACAGCGCTGGCCCCCGGCCTCTTGAGTGAGATGGGCGCACAACCCCAGAATCTGTCAAGACTGGCCCATACGGGCAGGGGTACCTTTACCTTTACCTTTTATGCAGCAAACAGAAAACTATTCTCTAACGATCAGTAAAATAAACTGGGAAAATATCACAGTGCCGGTATATAAACCAGCGATAAATTTTGGCATCCGCTCATAAGTCTTAATAGGTACATTCCGCAAGAAGTGCTGATCACTGCTATTTTATTTTTTATTTGGACTAACTTTTTATTGGGCTTTATAATAGGAATAATAAATAATACAAATAAACAGACCAAGTCCTCTCATGCCATTTGTATATCACAAAAACAGTGTAAAAAATTCGCAGTAATATCTGCAACATTTGGTTCATTATTAGTGGTCAATGTATAAGTTCTTGGTTCATGAACTTGGCTTAAACAAAAACAAATATGAAACAGGATAGAAGAAAATTAACAGATAACATTCTACATCGCGTAGCCTGATCAGGAGCCCTTGTGGTTGTTGTGCTTAGATTAAGTATGAGTAATAGTCACTTTTCCTGTTGCGTTACCAATGAAACAAAGTGTTGGTATATTAATGAACATGGGAGGGGGTTCAAAGCGAATATAATAATCTAGGTTTAAATTTAGATCAACCAGATTGAGCCTAATTCTTATGGGGGAGGGATTTTTCATTTTCTGGAATACTGCCATATGCTATGAAATTAAACCACACTGGGGTCAAGCCATCTTCTTTGATCTACCCACATGTCAACTGTAGTTTATTTGTTAATCTCTCAAGCAGGGATGTTTACGTAAAATAATTTTTCCGAAAGGACAAGGCAGATTCACGGAGGGCGGTGGATCTATCAGCAACCACTAGCCATAAGAGCTAAGTGAAACCTCCCTATATAGAGGCAACAGATACCTAAGTATACTGGATGTTGGGATGTGGGTGGTGCTGTGGGTTAAACCACAGAGCCTAGGACTTGCCGATCAGAAGGTCGGCAGTTCGAATCCTGGTGACGGGGTGAGATCCTCTTGTTCAGTCCCTGCTCCTGCCAACCTAGCAGTTCGAAAGTACGTCAAAGTGCAAGTAGATAAATAGGTACCACTCTGGCAGGAAGGTAAACGGTGTTTCCGTGCGCTGCTCTGGTTCGCCAGAAGTGGATTAGTCATGCTGGCCACATGACCCAAAAGCTGTACACCGGCTCCCTCGGCCAGTAAAGCGAGATGAGCGCCGCAACCCCAGAGTCATCTGCGACTGGACCTAATGATCAGGGGTCCCTTTACCTTTACCTTACACTGGATGTTGGGGGCACAAAGGCAACCTGGGAAGGGAAATGCAGATGTCCAGAGACTGCTGCTCTAACCACAGTCTTGGACTAACTGCAGCTTGGTAGGTTCTAGCAAGGGAAGCCTTGTCTGTTTTATGCATGTAGAACATACTGCCGCATGTCTGCCTAATCTCCATCTCTCCCTACAGTGCTGGGATTGGTCGCACCGGGACCATCATAGTCATCGATATGATTGTGGATTTGATCTCCATCAAAGGTTAGGTCACTTCTTGTTTTGAATCCTGGTGGCCATTCTGTTCCTTGGTCCCTCTTTGCCGCTGGCCAGGGTTAAGCCCCTTGCCTTCCTGGTCACGTAGATGGGAAAACGAGAAGAGCCAAAGCCTGTCCCGTAAATGATACAGGACTTCCCATCCCCTGTTTGCCCTCTTGAGCAGCAAGGGTGAATTAAAACCCAGTACAAATTACATTATAACCATGAACTAAAACCAATAATCAATAGGAAAGTAACATTGTAGCAGCACAGCAGGCGTGGGGGAAGCCTGGGTAAAGATGGGCATCTTCTTGTTGTTGTTGTTATTTTGTATTCTTTATTGAAAAGTAAAAAAGTAAAAAATTACAAGTGCACAGAGTAAAATAAGACTCAAAGAAGAAGAAGAAACAAGAAGTAGAACCCATCTAGAAAACAGAACAGAACAACAACAAAAAAGATATTGTGTACATTACAAAAAAGGGGGGAATTGTTATTGTAGTTAACCAAATATTGTTAAATTTGTCCATGGCAAGTCTACGTTTGTACACAGCTTGTTCATGTGTAGCAAGCTTGTACATATCTTCAGTCGTTAAAGGGATCCTCATCTTTATTTTTCCAGTTCATCAATACCTGTCTTTTTGCCGTACGAAGGCCGCGGGGAGTCCATTTATATTGTCCCTTTCTTAGATTCCATGTGTTGGGTATATAACTCAAAAGGACAGTCTCCTCTGCAAATTTAAGATTGTTCCGTACAGTCATGTCGACCGTCTCTATGACCTTCTGCCAGAAAATTTTTCAATGTTGGATATTGTACAAACATTTGTACATTATGGAAGCATTATCCCACCTGCAGCAGCTAGATGTCTTCGATAGGTGTATCTCGACCATTCATGGATGAGCATTGAGCTCAGTGGGAGACTTGAGCACATGTCTAAAGCTGCTGCCAGCTCTGGGAGGAAGCACGGATGAATTCAGCAGGACCTACTTCCGAGTAAGCATGCATAGGATTGGGCTGCACATCCCTCTTAATGAAATCAGTGGGACATAAACATACTTTGCTGGATCAAGGCCTGCATTTTTCCTATGCTTGCTACAGAATATTTTATTATGGTATGTGATGTTGTTTTATATTTCATAACTTATATGTTGCTCTTAGTGCCGTGTGCAAGGAAAAATAAAGACAGCAATCCCATGCATGCTTACTTGGGAGCAAGCCCTGTTTTATTCAGTGCCACTTGCTTACGATTGGCCTGTAAGTCTTGAACGACTTCTTCCCCCGTTTATTTATTACACTGTAGAATCAAAGTTGGAAGGGGTCCTGAGGATCATCTAGTCCAGCCCCAAGCGGGGATTGAACCTGCAACCTTGGTGCTAGCAGCACCACGCTCTAACCAACTGAGCTATCCACATTCCGCCTCCCTCCCCACCTTTTTCTTCCTTCCAGGGTTTGACTGTGATATCGACATCCCAAAGGCCATTCAGATGGTTCGCTCCCAGCGCTCAGGCATGGTGCAGACCGAAGCACAGTACAAGTTCATCTACATGGCTATTTGCCAGTTCATAGAGACCACTAAGAAGAAGCTGGATGTTATGCAGGTATGGGACTGGCATGCAGTGGTCACTATCATTAGCATCTTCTCCTTTACGGAAGATGCCCCACATCCTCAAGGAGATCGTAGTTGGGATGCGGGTGGAGCTGTGGTCTAAACCACTGAACTTCTTGGGCTTGCCGATCTGAAGGTCGGTAGTTCGAATCCCTGCAACGGAGTGAGCTCCTGTTGCTCGGTCCCAGCTCCTGCCAACCTAGCAGTTCGAAAGCACACCAGTGCAAGTAGATAAATAGGTACCGCTCCAGCGGGAAGGTAAATGGCATTTCAATGAACTCTGGTTTCCGTCACGGTGTTCCGTTGTGCCAGAAGCGGTTTAGTCATGCTGGCCACATAACCCGGAAAGCTGTCTGTTGGCAAACGCCGGCTCCCTCGGCCTGAAAGCGAGATGAGCACCGCAACTCCATTGTCACCTTTGACTGGACTTAACCGTCCAGGAGTCCTTTACCTTTACCTTTTACCTAGCTGGGTGACACACCTATTCTGGCAATGTTGCTGGGGACACACATTCAGATTCTAGCACCTTGTATAATTAGGCATTGCAAAGTGTACCCCAGGTATCTGTGTGCATGTGTGTGTGTGTGCATGCACAATCCCTGCATGACCCCAAAGCAGCCAGCTATACACTTGCTAGGAATGGCATGGCCATTTTGGTCTGCATTTGACTCAGTCATAAGCCCTCCAATGTCCTGGAGAGGCCCAGAGTTACAGCAAGAAGAGAAGGTTTTCCCCCAGAGATAGCAGGTCAGGCAGTGTGGGGAGGAGAAAGGGGGAATGGCTTTCTACTTCTGCTCCCTCCCCCCTTGGTTGCACCTGCAGCTTTGCCTCTTACCTTCTCCGTCCTGACTAAATGGGGCCCCTCACTGTGCGAGGAAATACTGCATTGCCCAAAGGACCACAGTGCCATTGTGCTCCATGCCATAAATCCCCTTATATAGAAATTTATACATATATTTCTCTCTCTCTGCTGCAGACTACAAAAGGAAAACCAAGTGAATCTGAATATGGGAATATAACCTACCCACCTGCACAGAAGATAAAGGCTTCACGAAAATCATCTAAGTAAGAACGCAACCATGGCAGCCATTAGAGCATCTCTCCCGGTTGTAACTGTCTCACGGTGTAGATAAATAGAACATTGGCAAAGGCAACCTGTAATGTTTTTGGAGGAACGGTGCTTTAGGAATGACATTCCTGTCCTCTCTCCAAACACATTTAACATGGTTCTCCCTTTGGGCGGCTCAAAAACGTGCACAAAATCCGGCTCTGAAGTCTGCCCCCTCCGCCAGCATCGCTCAGTTTAAGAGGGACTCAAGGGAATGGCAGGTGTCCTGTTGGCTGGTACATGTGTGACACACAATCAGCACCCCTCTGGATCCACAGAACACTTTAGCACCCATTTTCAAAACATTTATCTGTTTATATTATTCATTTAGCTGCTGAAATGGTAGTAATTTATCTGAGCTGCGTAAAAAAAAGTGGAACAAAATATGAAAGAGCCCACTTCAGGAGAACCAAATTGGCCCACGAATGTGGGTGCCCAGGGCTTTGGGTTCCATGCAGTGTGCATGGCCCTGGCACCCAAATTTGTGGGTTGCACGACCCCTTCATGGGGAACTTTTGTGGAGCTGGCACCTATGGTCCACTTGAAGCTTGAGTGCTTGGGGGCAAGAGGAAGGACTAGCCCATTTTCACAGCATGTAAAGCATGTAAAGTGTGCCAGCACCAAGCTGCAAAGCTGAGTTCATGCAACAACCTGCTGTGATAGCATTATTATTATTATTATTATTATTATTATTATTACTACTACTACTACAACTACAATTTATATACCACCCTTTATGAAAAGGTCCCAGGGCAGCGTACATGTTATGGAGCATAATAAAAAAATAATAATGCAAAGCACAATCATAGACAGCATAATGATAAAATAATCATAATAACAGTCCCTGACCCACCATGTCATCTTTCAGATGGGTCCAAGGGGACGTGGCATGATGTGATGGACAATTTCAATGATCAGTTTCCGCTGTTTTCAGTAGGGTTTTACAGAAATACATATTGCCACATATTTCCCTGATACAGTCATACCTCGGGTTACAGACTCTTCAGGTTGTGTTTTTTCAGGTTACGGACCCGCCGAAACCTGGAAGTACCAGAACGGGTTACTTCCGGGTTTCGGGGGTCGCGCATGCGCAGAAGCGCTAAATCATGCTTTGCGCATGCACAGACGTGCCGCTGCGGGTTGTGAACGCTGTGGGTTGCGAACGTGCTTCCCGCACGGATCACATTTGCAACCCGAGTGTCCACTGTATTTTAAGAGATGGCAGCGTATAAAACAACACAAGGCCATGGCTTGGCCTTACAGCTTAGCCACCCCCATCTTCCAGTCAGTACTTCCTCCCTCCCACCCTTTATTCTAGGTTCCGTTATCGTTAAGAGCGCTTATTCTGCTTTCTGTTTTTCCCTTTCTCTTTTCACAGGCAGAAGGATGAAGCAACCCTGTATGAGAATTTAGGCAAAAAAGAGGAAAAAGGGCAAAAGCAGTGGCCTTCAGGGAAGGAGAAGAAACCAAAGGGCTCCTTGAAGAAAAAATAGTGCCATAGATAATCTTCCACCTGCCTGGCTCTATTCGCAGCAGACACAAATTGTCTACCCCCCCACCCCCCCGCTGATAACTTCCTCTGAAAGGTTTACTGAGCTACAGAGGATCATCCCAAGAGATTTGGGTGCCTGAAGTGGGAAATCCAGATGTCACCTTTCCATTCGCCTCTTACTAATGAATGCAATTCTCCCTGCTTCTCCTATGACCCAACATACTAATCCCATACACCTCTTGGACTCCCCAGTGCACTTGCAAATTCATTCGGCGTTCCAGCCTTCACCTTTTCTCAAAGGCAGTTTTTGAATGCTTGAAACATGCCCCAACCACCATTAAAGTCCAAACCATAACAATTATTGGGGGAGGGCTGTAGGTCAGCGGTAAGACACCTGCTTTGCATGCAGAAGATCCCAAATTTAATCCCTGGCATCTCCCGATGGGGCTGGAAGAGATCCCTCTCTGAATTCCTAGAGACCAGCTTCCAGCCAGTGTTGACAATTCTGAGCTTAGATGCAGAGGCAGATTAAGACCTTTAGAGGCCCCAAGCACTTAAAATATTTTGGTGCCTACACACACACACACCATAAATTTTTTTAGTTTAGAACTGAAACAAAACCTACAGTAAAATGGAAAATAATGCTTGTTTCTGTACACTTCCACTTTATTTATATTCTTTGGGGAAATCTCCTACCTTTTCTAATTGCAAAGCCTTTGGTCAGATCCTCAAAACCAATATTACACAACAGATCTGTTCGATACTTCGTAGAGATAAGGTATCCAGCCTGCCTTGTTGCATAGTTGTTCAGTTGCGATTTTTAGCTGAAAAAAATGAATGCTCCGCTGAGCAATTTGTGCGCATTGAAGTTAAAAATTTGGCAATGGAAAATTTCCCTAAGCCTGGGCTTATTTGGCTTAATGGTGAGTCAAGCCCTGGCTAGATGAACCAATGGGCTGCTGATCCTGAGCTTTCCAGTGTTTCCATGACCCTAAAATAAGATCCCAAGTTCAGGTCCTTATGAGACTGCCTAATTTCTACAGGGGAACCCTTCAAAACCACCGTCCTAGGTCACCACTCTGTTCTGTGTTGGCTGGTTTTGTCGTTCTACACAGCAGCCAAAAGGATTAATGCCAAAGTGCCATGGATTAATGTGCATTGAGCTCCGCCTAGCACAGAATCTGTGCTTTTTGCTGTGCCATCTACCACTGCAAATTTTGATTTGATTATGGGTTACTTTCTGGGACAGAGCGGTGGGTGGGACTCCATATAAAAACATGCAAATTCACAAGGATCGGTTTTAATTCAGCCGGATCTCACTTTTATCTAGACCCTTTGGGAAAGCAAGTGTCTGGGGGGACACTTTCTATGTCTGGAGGGGAGAGAAGCAGCAAAAATAGGTTTTTCCCATGGGCCCAGAAAACACAGCTGGGAGTCCCACTGATTGCACTTCGGAGTAGACAGGTACACAATCGCCCTGGTGGAAGGCTAGAACTCCTGCCATTTCCCCCTTAGTCTTGAGATCTTGAGTCTTCTTTTTATCATGACCTCTAGCCTAGGCTATTCCATTACAGCAAGCCCCGTCAGGCTGAGAAGCAGTATAAAGTGCCCTTGGGATCAATGTTGCTTCTGTAACTTCACTTTTTGGTTCCCTGTCTTTCTCTCGCCTGCTCAAATGCTTCACCTAATTGGTCAAAGCCGTCCTTGCCTTGTCCAACCTCCAGCTCAAATGCCAACCTCTGCTTAGCCACCGAACCTTACCGCTGTGCTGTGTGTAAATAATGGATAATTTTCTAATCCAGTGGATTGGTTTTCTTGACTTGTAAATAAACCAGATTTTTGTTTGATTTGCATGAAGACTTTTTTTTTTAAATTGTTAAGAGTTCCGTACTGAACTTGCAGGAGAGTGAATAAAATTGCTGGGACTCTGGAAATGATCTACAGGTGCTGTTGGAAAACAGGGAGATTTCTTAGTCAATCTGCTGCGGGCAGCACATGCCAGAAGCCATTTCCTGCTTTCAGCCTCAGAGAGCTCCAACTTTGTTCTTTATTTTTGCTTCCGATGCAAAAATGCCTAGAGCTAATAAGCAGTGAAATTGGGGACACACACACACACACAGCTTCTCCCATGTCAGCCCCAAATCCAGACAGCACTGAAGTGTTTTACACTATGGGACACAGATGCTCCAGGGTTGTCAACAAGGACATCTGAGATTAAAATATGATGTACCCATGTCCCTCTTCATGCTCTTTGGGAGGGGTCAGCAAACTTTTTCAGCAGGGGGCCGGTTCACTGTCCCTCAGACCTTGGGGGGGGGGCGGATTATATTTTGAAGAAAAAAATGAATGAATTCCTATGCCCCACAAATAACCCAGAGATGCATTTTAAATAAAAGCACGCATTCTGCTCATGTAAAAACACACTGATTCCAGGACCGTCCACAGGACAGATTTAGAAGGTGTTTGGGCCGGATCCAGCCACCCCAAGCCTTAGTTTGCCTACCCATGCTCTTTGGTATGAGTTTACAAAAAGAGCAAAAATCTTGAGATTGCTAAGGGCAGGAAAAAAATGAACTGGGGTACAGATCTAGGTTGCCAGTAGGCTGTACAGACTGAAATGAGGTCCTCTTTTTATAAGCCCAGCAGAAGAACTAGAAATTTAATAACTGCACTTTCACAGGGCTCTGCTATGTAGGCTTGGCTCTTTGCAGGAAGGTCTTCAGGCAAGATGTGTCTTCTGCAAGTGGCTGAGAATCGTCTGCCTGCTGTATCTCGACAGGTAACTTCCTTAGGCCACAGCAGTACAACTGCAGCAGCGAGGCATTTGTTGAGTCACTATTGACCCCGCTCTGCAGTCTTAAAAATTAAGGAACCGTAACAAAAAGAGAGGACACAGAGGAGGGCAGCACCCTCCCTCCATCCTTCCTGGAATAGGTTTTCGTGTTTTCTGACATAGCACTGCCCTCTTGTGCCAGACCACATTGCATTTGGAACTGTTGGGTTGGCAAGCTGTCCATGCACCGTGCAGGAGGTTCGTGGATGGCTTAAGAGTTATTTTTCATTTATTAAATTGATGTATTTTATTCCCACTCTTCAGGTAGTAATCTTCCAAGCAAAAGGAGCTGTGAGGCTGGCTATAGCATAGACACAGTTGCTACATTCTGCCTGCCGTTTCTGCAGTTAGAATCATAGAATCATAGAGTTGGAATAGACCACAAGGGCCATCGAGTCCAACCCCCTGCCAAGCAGGAAACACCATCAGAGCACTCCTGACATATGGTTGTCAAGCCTCTGCTTAAAGACCTCCAAAGGCGGAGACTCCACCACACTCCTTGGCAGCAAATTCCACTGTCGAACAGCTCTTACTGTCAGGAAGTTCTTCCTAATGTTTAGGTGGAATCTTCTTTCTTGTAGTTTGGATCCATTGCTCCGTGTCCGCTTCTCTGGAGCAGCAGAAAACAACCTTTCTCCCTCCTCTATGTGACATCCTTTTATATATTTGAACATGGCTATCATATCACCCCTTAACCTCCTCTTCTCCAGGCTAAACATGCCCAGCTCCCTTAGCCGTTCCTCATAAGGCATCGTTTCCAGGCCTTTGACCATTTTGGTTGCCCTCCTCTGGACACGTTCCAGTTTGTCAGTGTCCTTCTTAAACTGTGGTGCCCAGAACTGGACACAGTACTCCAGGTGAGGTCTGGCCAGAGCAGAATACAGTGGCACTATTACTTCCCTTGATCTAGATGCTATACTCCTATTGATGCAGCCCAGAATTGCATTGGCTTTTTTAGCTGCCGCGTCACACTGTTGGCTCATGTCAAGTTTGTGGTCAACCAAGACTCCTAGATCCTTTTCACATGTACTGCTCTCAAGCCAGGTGTCCCCCATCTTGTATTTGTGCCTCTCATTTTTTTTGCCCAAGTGCAATACTTCACATTTCTCCCTGTTAAAGTTCATCTTGTTTGTTTTGGCCCAGTTCTCTAATCTGTCAAGGTCGTTTTGAAGTGTGATCCTGTCCTCTGGGGTGTTAGCCACCCCTCCCAGTTTGGTGTCATCTGCAAATTTTGATCAGGATGTCCTTGAGTTCATCATCCAAGTCGTTGATAAAGTTGTACAGGACTAGGGAGACACTGAAACTGTGCAACACAAAAATATACCAGCAACATCAACTTTTAGCATATACAGTGCTCTAGTTTGTGCAGACTGCTTCACAGACATTGCTTTAGAAACTCACGTAGTCCTGTAAGGTCATTTAGTATTATCCTCAAATTATAAGATGGGGAGGCTGAGGTAAGCAGGGGCATCCATCTTCAAAACTAAACAAATCCATGCACACAGAAAACTCGTATACCCAGGTGGCTAGGCTACAATCCTTTTCCCCGATACACAGGCTTTCTATGCGAAGAAATTGTAGTTCTTTTGTATAACGCAACATCTACTTGCGGTCTGAAGGTGCACAACCCTGACACAGCACAAACTCATGATTTCCCCAAGAGAAAGGCTTGACGATGCCTTGCCGTCACAAAATCATTGCATTTATTTGTGGCATACTTTGCTGAAAGAGCTTGGCCACCACCAACTTTTCCCCCTGCCAGCTTGTAGCTTTTTTCACTGCCTAAAAAAAAAAAGTTGCCAGTTTTCTTAAGAGAACTCATTTCATTGCTCAAATGCTCTGGTAGAAAATGTATGTGTGCCCTATTTGTGGTTTTATTTGTTTTATTTTTTTTTTACAAGAAACCCCAATGGCAACAGCAAAGAACCCACCTCACTTTTAAAGCAATTATTTCTGAACTGTTTTCACATGAACCATTATGACTGCGGCTGAGGACCATACCAGACATGAAGGGGGAATGTAAGTAGTTCTAAGGAAATTGGTAACGGGTCGTATTCTACACAGGCTTGACAGAACACCACCTGCTCTTGCGTAACAGCAAAAACGAAAGAAAACAACCTTCTGCAGAAAGGAGAATGTTATTTCTAACAAAGTTCTAAATGAGCAGATGGAAAACACAGCAGTCGACTGAGAACTAAAGCATGTACCTGCCCTCTCTTTAGCACTTTAGGGAGCTTATTCTAGCAATTTCCCCCCCAGAGGACTTAGAGGGCGATGAATGGGCGGCTTCCCAGCCATTTGCATGAGTTCTCTGTCTTGACTCTAAGAAATCCACCCCATACAAAATGAAAATTCATTCACAATGGTGTCAGAAGAGTTTTGGACCTGATTTTATTTGTATAAAGTTGTGAATCACGATGCAAAAGAACTTACATAAATGGAGATCACAGCACTTGCAGAAGCCCCATCTATTCCTGAGACGAGGTGCTCGGCGGGGGCCAGGGGCAGGGGAGGGGGCAAAGATAGCAAACTCTCCACTGACGTGAGAGGCAGGGGATTATATGTACTCAGGCCTCATTCAGCCCCAGCAGGAAGAGGAGAGCAACAATTTGATCTACTTAAAAACCAACCCCTTGGCTGGTCTCTGCTGCCCACCTGTACCCAGTCCTTCAGGCTGGGTGGGGTGGGATCAGTGACCATGGGAACAAAAAGTTTACCCCCCCCCCGCCTCAGCATGAAGACTTGTTTCCACAGCTGGCCTTCACGGCTGGCAGTTCCCCAAAACAGGAACCAGATGATGAGCCAAGAAAGGGCTTATTAATGGCGCGTTGGGAAGTGAAGATGACAACTGGAAAGAAGGCCCAGGCCAAAGAGAAGACTTATGGGCAGCAGAGATGTGCAAGGCTCTTCCACGGCTGCGCATAACCCCCATTCTGCCAGTCATTTCGATGGGTCTGGGAGGCGGCCGCTAGTTCATTTCTTCCCCTGCTTGATCAGGAGGCTGTCACTGCAAGAGAAGCAACAAAAAGGGGGATTGCCAAAGAGGAACATTCACACAACGTGGGTGTGGGGGGCTAATAATAATAATATTTTATTTATACCCCGCCCTCCCCAGCCAAGACCGGACTCAGGGCGGCTAACACAAAGTAAAAAAACAATTGATTGAAATACAACTGAAAAACAACATTAAAATGCAGCCTCATTTCAGTAGGATCTCAAATCAAAAACTTTTTTGGTGGAACAGAATCAGGCTGGAGTAAAGCAGAGCAGGAACAGCGAAGAAACAGCCTTAGTCCATCATAACAGCACATGCTCCACTCAGAAAACATAAGGAACAGGGGGGGTGGGGGGTGGAAGGAACTTGGAATTCTTCTGAGTAGTAGAAGTAGTTCACTCCCCGCCCTGGTTTCTCTTTCTCTGCTTGTTCCATTCCAAGCAACCACCCTCCCATTTTGTCTCTCTTTCTTTCCTTCCCCCAATTCCCTGGAAGGAGGGAATTTTATTCAGTTAAACGTTGCAGCTCTACTTGAAGTTAAAATATTGTTATCTTACCTTCCTCTGTAACCAGAAGCGCAACGAAAAAGTGGTGATGAAGAATGGGGCGGGGAGAGAGAGACATAGAAAGTTAGAACTATTTTATCAACTTCGGTAATTTATGCGCCACAACATTTTTAGCAAAATCTCAGAGAGATTTACAAGTATCAGGAATTGCTGGAAATAAACATTAAAAATACAAAAAAAAGCCCATTACAAAAATCTATCATATTAAAAACAGACAAGCCAACAGTAAAGCAGTTATCACTCTGCTAACCATAAAAATATACTTTCCAAAGCTGAGGTAATTTTAGTCCATTTTAGTGTTTTTTAACTTTCGTATTATGTTTTAAAGTACAGTGGTACCTCGGTTTAAGAACAGCCCTGTTTACGAACTATTTGGTTATGAACTCCACAAAACCAGAAGTAATGTTCCAGTTTGCGAACTTTACCTCGGTCTAAGAACAGAATCCAAATGGTGAAAGGGCACCGGTGGTGGGAGGCCCTCATTAGGGAAGCATGCCTCTGTTTAAGAACGGTTTCGGACTTCCGGAACGGATTAAGCTCGTAAACCGAGGTACCACTGTAGAGTTGTAATTTTTTCTTGGTTTTACTGTTTTATATTTTGTATACCGCTTTAATGTTTTGTTTTTTACAACCAATCAGTGTATAAATTTTATTAACTAACTAACTAACTAACTAACTAACTAACTAACTAACTAAATCCCAAAGGGAGAAGGCCTGTTTCTATGGGGTTCCTAGATGACCATCTTCTAGCCATGGAAGATCACAAAGGTTGCTGTGGTATACAAATAGGTGAGGCAGGCCGCCAGGTATCCTGGTCCTAAGCTGCTCAGGGCTTTGTGTGCACAAGAGCCAGTGTGGTGTAGTGGTTAAGAGTGGTAGATTCGTAATCTGGTGAACCGGGTTCGCTTCCTCGCTCCTCCACATGCAGCTGCTGGGTGACCTTGGGCTAGTCACACTTCTCTGAAGTCTCTCAGCCCCACTCACCTCACAGAGTGTTTGTTGTGGGGGAGGAAGGGAAAGGAGAATGTTAGCCGCTTTGAGACTCCTTTGGGTAGTGATAAAGCGGGATATCAAACCCAAACTCAATAATAAAACCATGAACTTGGCTTGGTAGCAGATAAGCAGCCATTGCAGATTTTTAAGTGCCAGTGTTGCATGAATGTGGAAAGACATGATGCTGAATACTCTAGTTGCAGCATTGTACACTAGTGACAAATTCCTGAACCAAACAAAGAGTAGCCACACATGGAGCACATTTCTGTACTCTAGAAATGAAGTTACCAATGCACGGGGAACAGTGGAAAGGCCAGGAATGGGTATTACCAGCAATTAACAGTCCGGGTGGAATTCAACATAGCACTGAGGAGCTCATTCTAGGAGCGAAAGCATCTCTGGTTGCCCAACAGAACTCTCTTGCCTCCCCTCCCCTTGCACACTGTTTCAGTTCTCCAAACCCTCCTGGGCAGATCTGGGGAGGGCGTGGCAGACACACAGGAGGAGGAGGAGGGGGAAAGTCCAATTGTGCTGGCTTCCGTTAGCCCGACTACTTAGCTGAATTCGTCCCCCTGTCACTAGAGGGGCATCGACCTCTGTAGCATGAAGGTGGAACTAGTGCTCCCAGACTATGTACCCTTCCCATCAGAGGAATTGCAACTCTGTCCAGAACAAGTAAGCATACCAGTTCCCAGATCTGGGATCTGACCATGAATAGGACATGCCTGTCTCAGTTTATTCATCTTTATACAAATCTGGGAATACAGCTGTCCATGTGCCTGTCTGTCTGTCTGTCTGTCTGTCTCTCTCTCTCTCTCTCTCACACACACACAGCGAGAGCGTGCGTGGATGACTGACAGTACATGTGCATTTATGTAACACCCAGAAAGCAAGGGGCATTGTTTATTTCTTATGCTCTGCTATTCCTCCAAGAAACTCATATTTGGGGGATGGAGCTCCTAAGGCTCATTACAGAGCAAACGACTTTAGGAGGCATCTCCACAAACTCCCTTACCTAGTGAAACCTTCATCCTGTAGATTCAGCACTAAGTTGTCAGCTGTAAGATACACGCGGTTCTGAGATGCAGCGATCTGTAAAAGGCAAGGAAGGGACAGATCAAGGAGGGTGCAAGCAAAGGTCCAGGGGTACAAATAACTGCATTCAATAGAGAACTTCCTTCTGCCAGCATTTGGGGGACACCAATTCCAAACAAATGGCAGAGAATTAACGTTCGGCACTGAACTGTAAAAACTGTTAGCCAAAGTAAGTCTCAAAGCTAAAAATGGGATGGGAAAGAAAAACAGCCTTGGCAGCTGCAGGTGAAATTTCAGAAAGTCTCTTTTTAAAAAATAATTTGCTAGTCCTTTTTGCTGTTGTTGTTCTGGAAAAAGTTTGGAAGGCACCACTATGGGTACAGTTCTAGTAAGGACAAGAAACCACAACAGTGATAATTTGAAAGAGTTGAACTCAAGTTTACTCCCTTTTTTCACTATGAATGTAGAGTATTTTATTTCTGATCTACTATCCTACATTTTTTTTCTAGCCCAGGGCCATCAGCCTTTGCAATGCTTCAGTTCATTCTGCTTCTCCATGTGTCTGATTTTCCTGTGAGCCTGTTCCTGGCCTGTGGCACATTATGGTCTGTAAGCGGCCACAGCTGGGTATGGCACATTGAACATGATGTGGGTCTGCTTTTACAAAGGCCAGAGGCTCCAAGGCCCCTGCTAAGATGCACAAACCAACGTAATAAATAAGTGTGGCAGAGAGACACATCAGAGGAAGCATATCGTATTCGCCTTAGGTTCATCACTTGGCCTGGAAAAGCACTGTTTGGGGGGGGGGGTTGAGAAAGCAACTCCAGTGTCCTAAAACTCACCGTCTTAGATATGTTCTGGGCGGCACGGATCTTGCGGAGCTTGATGTAACCTGGGTTCTTGCTGAGGGCTTCACCAATGTGAATAGGTTAAGGTGCTATTTCACCATTTTGGAATGTGGGACTTACACCTCCTTGAACTCACCCACCTGGGATCAACACAGCCCTACTTTGCTCCACTCGAAGCCACAGTCTTGTGGGAGATAGTTCTGTACAACTGCAAACATCCTGTTGCTACACACCAGGAATCAATGAATCAGTGGGGGGAAATACGTATTTGGCAAGAGTGCTCCCCCTAATGCTTCACTCCAAAGCTCTCATCAACTAGCACAGCACTAACTGGCATAAAATAGTCCCAACATCTTTCTGCAGGCAATGGGACTGTACGTTTAAGGAAACACGCTTTATATGATGGAGAAGAACTGAGCACCCCATTCACTTGAACGCTGTCTGGTATGAGAGGGGAGGACAGGGAAGCAGAGTCCTCAGGAGTGAATGACCTCTAGTTGCTGCTGAACTTCTTGTTGCAGGGTAACTCCTCAGAATCTCAGCACCCAAAAATCTTCCTAATAGCACCCCCAATTCTCCCACCAGCAATTCTAGGTAACCGAAAACAGATGCCCTTCACTCGTGCAATGTGATGCCTCTTATATCAGTCCAAGCTCAAAAATCTGGAGTTTGGGGATTCTGCAAGAGACCACTTCCCACACCCTTGGAAAACTGTGTGGTGGCTGTCTCCCCACAGCAAAGCAAGGATATCATCTGGGCAGCTGTGGCTTCTCCTTCCGCTTGAACAATCTTCTGCCTCTGCTCCTGTTTAGCTTTCTCCACCAGGAATTGAGCTCGTTGCGCCTCCTGCTGAGCTGGAGAAGAAGAGCAAAGAGAACATGAGAATCTCTCTGCAACCACTTCCAGGGGTTTCTTTCGTTCTTTAAAAGATTTGCAGGCCTGTCCTGTGCACATTTAGTCAAAAAACAGCCCTACTCCATTTAGCTGGGCTTATGTCCAGCTATTTGTGCATGTGGAGCAGTCCTAGCTGACTTTATGCAAACACAGCTTTCGAGAAAGGACCAGAACTTGTTTGGACTCACCCACTTGCTTGGCTTCCACTGCTGCTGTGTACTCCCGGCTGAAACTCAGTTCTGTGATGGCTACGTCATCTAGAATAAGGCTAAAATCTTTCGCCCGCTCTGTCAGCTCCCGACGGATAAGCAAAGACACCTAAAGCAATAACCCAACAGTTTGTCCTCCACATTTATCGTGAGCAGGCGGCAGCTTCCTTCAGACCAGGAAAAGTCATGAGAACCCCCAAGAGCTTTGGAAAGCATCCAATTCAAAAAGCTCGAGTTTCATGTTCAAGTCACTGAGACGCAGATGAGAAAAAAGGAGAGTCAGCCCAGGGCCAGTCACCTTGGCTGATGTGTTAGAAAATAAAATTGTGACAAAGGAATTTTTAAGCTCTAGGTCTAGGCACAGCCTTTTGTGGTCAGCTCTGTTAAATACTCTTAGGGAAGTATACATGAAGAGATTTCTTAGAACTCTCAGTACACTTATTAATAAGATAGTTCAGAACACAAAAGAAAACACCTTCCATACCTGAAGCCAGTCTATGCTTCAAAATGATGTTGATTTAGTTTGTTCTTCTCATTTGGTCAGAAGGTCATGTTTATACAGAAACCAATGTCATATCCAACAGACTTATGGACCTATAATCTCCAGGTGATTTACTCTAGTTTCTGCCAAGTGCGTGAAGCAGGTTTTCTTTAGTGATTGCTTAAATCTCCAAAGGTGGTACATTATCTTTTGCAACATGGGCAGCACCACTCAATTTTCCTTACTTTGCTAAATTACAGAGTTATCACTTTACTTGTTACATTAATCATTATGTGAAACTTCCAGAGGCCAGTACTGGGTAGGCCCAGAGCCAAATGCAGCTACTGGAGGAAATCAAGAGTCTGGAGATTTTAAAGGCCAGATCACATCTCATTAGAAACTTTATCTGATATTTAGAAGTGACCTTAAAACATATTGATACTGCTTATCTGCCCTTGCATTTCATTGGGGAAAGGCTTTCCAGTTCCTCAGTCCACCAGACAATTATGTCCACCAATGCCATATTGTTTTAGTCTAATCCAGGATTAAAGTTGTCCATCAAATGATATTATTTTGTAATTGTATCCAGTTGTATGTCTAAATGACCTCAAATTTTACCATGCAACTTACCATGGCAATGTCTAAAAACTGTCACCAACTAAGTTAATTACCTTTCACTAAATAACTGAGCTACATGGAAATGAGGGAAGATTGCCTCAGTAAATGGAAGAATGTATAATCATGACAAACTTTGCAAATGATTTCATCTATCCCATGGAAAATTTCTTAAGGCTTAAACCATCAAAAACTAGTGAGGCAGTGGAAGCATGCAGCATCCACACCAACAACCTGCAACCTCCCACCTCCGTAGCCCTTCCTCCCGTGAAAAGTGGAGTTGGGACAGGTAAGTCTGCCTGCATGGAAAGTGAACAAACCTGAGCTCGCTGGGTGATGAGTTGTGAGGCGTTGAATTTTGCCACCACACTTTTGAGCACTTCATTGACAATGGAAGGCAAGACTCGCTCTTCGTAGTCCAGACCAAGGCGCTGGTACAAGCTGGGTAGTTCAGCGGCGTTTGGGCGTGACAGAACTCGCAAGGAGATGTTCACCATCTGCAAGTCTAGAGACAGAATCAAACTAAGCATAGTCCCAGTGGTTTGTCTTACTTCACCTTCCAACTCGGATTGTGCACCCAGATCTCACCCATTCATGCTGCTCTGTACAAGATTGTTCTGAAGCCCTTGCTTTAAACCCTGGCTATGGAAAAACACATCTTCCCAAGAAGTGACAATAAAGTAGCCGTGGTATCTGATGTAATGGCTGGGCTCAGACTTGGGAGACTCAAATGAAAAACCCCTCTCTGCACTGAAGTTCACTGGGTAAGCTTGATCCACTCACCCTCTCTCAGCCTAACGTGCATTACAGGATTACTGTAAAGATTCAATAGGGAAAAGAGGAAAGTAGAATAAACTATGTGCATCACCCTGTGTTTATTGAAGAGAGGAATACAAAACCAAAAGACAATGTGCTTCTCTATGACCTTACCTTTGGAGCCTGTTGGCGAGGAGATTTTGCGGGGCCGAGCTCGAATATCATAAATTATTGGATACTGGAACCAGGGAATTCTAGGAAGAAAACGAAGATTATACCAAATTAAGATGTCCAAAACCAAGCAGTACAGATATGTGGAAATAAAGAATTCCTACAAATACTTTTTTTTCTTTTCTCATGTGCTTTGAGATAGAGAAACCACAATACTTGCCCAAGAACTGCATTTTCTTCTGTTGATACTATGTCTTAGTAAACTATATTACTCGATTCACATTGATAACACCGCACTAAAATAGCAAATAATCTTTAGTGTCCTTCAATTCAATTTTTGGGTTTCACTTTCTCATGAACAGTACTTCTTGAAGTTTTCACAGTAAGACATTTAGCCAAAGGAGAAACTATATTAGCACGAGAGAAAACATTTACCGTATTTTTTGCTCTTTAAGACTCACTTTTCCCCTCCTAAAAAGTAAGGGGAAATGTGTGTGCGTCTTATGGAGCGAATGCAGGCTGCGCAGCTATCCCAGAAGCCAGAACAGCAAGAGGGATCACTGCTTTCACTGCACAGCGATCCCTCTTGCTGTTCTGGCTTCTGGGATTCAGAATTTTTTTTTTCTTGTTTTCCTCCTCCAAAAACTAGATGCGTCTTATGGTCTGGTGTGTCTTATAGAGCGAAAAATACAGTGCCTCTTAAAGAGTTGACAAATGATTCTTAGGAGTTTGTGATCAGATAAAAAATATTGGCATGCTACAAGAATTTCAAATTAAATTAAGGTTTGTATGCTTTATAATGAGGAATCTCTGGAGGTGAGGTGCTGTTAGAAAACATTTGTCTGGGAATGACAACATCTTGGGATTTCCTGTTCTTCTAAACTTTCCAACATAGTTCTTGACCCGGTACCTGAAATGCAGTCCCTCAGAAAGAATGGTGTCCTGCTGAACTCCACCAATGCGGTTGAAGAATATTGCTCTTTGGCCACCCTCCACTGTGGAAACAGAGAGACAAAAGCAGTCAGTAGTTACCACCAAGCATTGTGCAAAAGGTAGGAGATGACCATACACAAATACCACTGACTTACCTGTAAAGACAGACTCACGGATACCATAGGCTGCAGCACCAGCACCCAGCAACAACTTCAAAGCAGTACCCATGCCCCGAGGGCCGGTGGGCAGGCGCCCAGCCAAGTCTTTCAGGCTCTGAGCCATGGCAACCTTCATATGGGGAAAGAAACACAGAATGAAAAACCAAAGCCATGTATTTCACACAGCTCTGCAGGTTTTCCTATCCAAACTCTTATGTTGCCAGAAAAGCAGCGATACACAGAAACACATGTTTCCATTTTTCGCTCTCTGAGCATGGATACATAGAAAGGTCCCTCTTTTGATTCCTCTCAGTCATGAATCCTGCATCTTTACACGCAGCACCAATGGGGGGCGCTGACCATTTTCAAGCGCTGAGTTAAAAACATGAATTAGTTCTTCCCCCCCACCCCCTTTTCTTTCTGGCAGAATGACATTTCGAGCCAGAACTCCTCACGTTTAGAGCACTTTTTGACTTCCAATAATATATATTAAGTTTCATACAAACACAGCACCTACTATAAAATCAATGAAAGAAAAATAAAAGAGGAAAATAAAAATAAAACAAATATAACGAATGATAACCAAAAATACAACCACAAACACATATACAATAAAAATTAATTAACTGGTTAAATTAGAGCACTTTTTGGAAGGGGAAACGAAAGAGAGGCTGCTCCCCCTTCGTGGAACAGCGCTCTTGACATGCTCAGAAGCACTGCACCCCGGGGCCTCCTAAAAGCGAGCTCGTCCCGACTCAGGAGCACAACCCTCAGAAGAGTCGCCTCAAGGACTCGAAGGAGCGCGGAGACCCCTCACCTCCTCCTCCTTCTTCTTCCTCTCCCCAGCACGCCGCTGCCCCACCTGGGAAAAGGACACCGGAAGTGGCCGCTCACTAAATGCTTCCCCGGCAGACAAGCAGGGCTGCCGGAAGTGAAACCTCGCGGGGGGGACAGTACTTCCGGGTCTCCGCCTGACACACCGCTGCTCTCTCTGTATTTTTCGTTCCCCCCCCGAAACGAGGGTGGAAGCGAAGGGGAGGGGTCACTTGGGGGACCGGAAGTAGTTCCTGCCCTGACCCCTGCCCTCACAGGAAGGCGACAGGAAGCAGCTTCGCCGACCTCGAGGAGCCTGCGCGGCGTCAAGATGGCGTCGGCTTCTGCGAGGAAGCGCCCGAGCGAGGAGGCGGCGGGCGGAGGCGAGCGGGGGCCACCGCCTCAGCGCGCAGGGAAGCGGCGGCTGCTGGTCATCCTGGAGGGAGCGTCGCTGGAGACCGTGAAGGTGAAGGGGCGCGGCTGGGGGCCTGAGAACGAAGCGGGGGGCAGCCGCGTGCGGGGCCAGGACGTCGCCCTGCTCCCTCAGACAAGGGGCGGCCGAGGGCGCCTGCCAGGGGAAAAGCTGAACGGCCTTTCCCCTCAGGCAGTGGCCCCCAACCTTTTTCTTCTGGCCATCCCTCACCTAAGCATCTCTAAAATCCCGTTACAGATGGGTAGCCGTGTTGGTCTGCCATAGTCAAAACAAAAAAAATTCCTTCCAGTAGCACCTTAAAGACCAACTGAGTTAGTTCTTGGTATGAGCTTTCGTGTGCATGCACACTTCTTCAGATACGAAGAAGTGTGCATGCACACGAAATGAAGAAGAAGTGTATCTGAAGAAGTGTGCATGCACACGAAAGCTCATACCAAGAACTAACTTAGTTGGTCTTTAAGGTGCTACTGGGAGGAATTTTTTTTGTTTTGTCTAAAATCCCGATCTCTCTCCCCCACCACACACACATAATTCTCATTATTCAAAAAGTGAACTATTCACGCGGAGGAAGCCTAAAAGGCCATTAACTGTTAATAACTCGTTCTCGAATTTCCCCCCTTAAAAATCAAATCGCCCCCCTGCAAGGAAGGACGGATGCTAGGGTTGCCACCTGTCCTGTATAATACAGGATTGTTCCAGTACTAAAATGCTACGTCCTGTATTTCGGAGCTTTTCTCTCTCTCTGCCAAACTAGGGATCCTCTCAAAATAAATGTATGTCTTTGACAATGTGTGTGAAAGATGTTGTATTTAAGCTCTGGGTAGCCGGGTACAGACAGATTTACAAATTCGTATGTGTGACGAATTCCAGAAGGGCCATCCTGTTAGGTTGCAATAGATTGTAATGGATTGCTCTGAAGTCACTTCAACACCAGATGAAAGAAAAAGAATTGCCCCGCACAGCCCTGTGTTTTGCCAAAAGGATGGTGTCAAACCTATCTCTGATGTGCCACGCTATGGTGTGTAGGTGGTTTTTCACGTAGGGAAATCATTCAGAAATCATTTTGTTTTATACCCTGCTTACCCACCCCCCGACAAAACAATAAAACATTAATACAGTTTAAATTGTGTATACATTTAATTGATTTACTTTAAAACAGCACATTATTTCACCTCTGCTTTATGTGTAGATCAAGCCTTGTGGGTGGGGAGGTCGGAGATGTTTTGAGTCCCATCAGGGAATAAGATGGGGTATAAGTAAATATTTAATAATAATATATTCATCATGGGCGATGTATTAATGGCAGTTGACCATGATAACTGCATGGAGCCCCCACCTTCTGAGGTAAGGTAAAGGTAAAGGGACCCCTGACCATTAGGTCCAGTCGGGGCCGACTTGGGTTGCGGAGCTCATCTCACTTTACTGGCCGAGGGAGCCGGCGTACAGCTTCCGGATCATGTGGCCAGCATGACTAAGCCGCTTCTGGCAAACCAGAGCAGCGCACGGAAACGCCGTTTACCTTCCCGCTGAAGCAGTACCTATTTATCTACTGGCACTTTGACGTGCTTTCGAACTGCTAGGTTGGCAGGAGCAGGGACTGCGCAATAGGAGCTCACCCTGTCGCCGGGGTTCGAACCGCCGACCTTCTGATCAGCAAGTCCTAGGCTCTGTGGTTTAACCCACAGCGCTACCCCGCGTCCCTTCCAAGGTAGTGTACCTCTAAACATGGGTCTCTGATAGGAGTTGGAGCTGCCACTTTCATGTCCTCCTTGTGGGCTTTCTAAAGCCACTTACCAGGCTTCTGTTCGCCAACTAGCACTTAAGGAACCTTTAATCAACTGTACAATTCCCAATTTAGCACATTTTAACTGTCTCATTTTACTGTTCTATTGCCAATTTGTGTTAAGTTTTGCGTCATGTTACATTTTATTGTAAGCTGTCTTGAGTACACTTCACTGTAGATTGTGCCAAATACATGTAAACAAATAAAATGATTATTCGTCCAGGTTGGGAAAACCTATGAGCTACTGACCTGCGACAAGCATAAATCGTTGCTTCTGCGAAGTGGCCGGGACCCTGGAACAGTTCGACCTGACATCACCCACCAGGTACATTCATGTATCTACTACATAATCAAAGTAGTGTACTTATAAGTCGCCTCTGTGGTGTGTTGCTATTTCTGAAGCATTGACAGGAAAACTTAGTTCCCATACAACAGCTTTTAAAAATACTGTTGGCAACTTTTAAAATTATTATTCAGATTGCAAATGTTCCCAAATGCTTCCTTTACTCTTTTCACTGAAGATTTATAGCAAACTTGCATGCTGGAATTTCATTCTCACACTGCCTTTTTAAAATACGCAATTGCAGAGTTCTGACAGATGTTACTGCTGCGAATTTCCCTGCTTCTGAATAGTTTTAGCTTATTTCTTTCTCACTCTTCTTCCCAGAGCCTCCTGATGCTCATGGACAGTCCCTTGAATCGAGCTGGCCTTCTCCAAGTTTATATCCATACAGAAAAGAATGTTCTAATTGAAGTCAATCCCCAGACAAGAATCCCTCGCACCTTTGATCGTTTTTGTGGCCTCATGGGTAAGAGGACAGAGGCTGGCTTTCCCCTCAGAAACTTGTATGCTTTCAGTGGAGATAAATGGAGGGTTGTATGTGAGAGGGAGTAGCCATCTATAGTAGCCTTATTCTCCATGTATTTATCTAAAGCCCTTTTAAAGCTATCCCAAGCTGGTGGCCATTATATCTCCAATTAGTGAAGTTCAGAATTGCACTATGTAGAATAAGTTCTTCCTTTTTCCAGTCTGAATCTTCCAACAGTCGTCTTCATAGTACAAGGGTGAGAAAAGCTATTCCAAACATGCACAGTGTTACAAAAATGGGAAGATCCAATTTTTAATACCTCAGTTGTGAGAACTGCCCATTTATTTCTCCTATCTTAGAGTATGCTTCTATTCTGTAACGCCAATGTAAATATATCTTGCCTTTTTCTCCTCAGTTCAGTTGCTGCACAAATTTAGCGTCAGAGCTGCTGATGGGCCTCAGAAGTTATTAAAGGTAAAAAAAAACCTACTAGTTCACTATGCGATTCTTTGCAAGATTGTTCTTGCTTCTACTTTCAAGCCCGTCCATTTTTCTTCCATTAGGTAATTAAGAATCCTGTTACCGATCACCTCCCTGTAGGCTGCGCGAAGATCGGCACATCCTTCTCGGCCTCTACTGTGACAGACGTCCGTGACATAGTCCCTACTGCAGACCCAATAGCTATCACTGTGGGAGCTTTTGCTCACGGCTCGGTAAGACGTCCATTTCCATACCAGCCAGTTGTAAGTCAGGAATCTCACCTGAATGCACAAGCTGGCCTTAGGGCAAGGCACTGTTCATAGGTAGTGTGTGCATGTAGTTGCATATGGTCTACTCTACAGGATTATAATGCCCTATTATAGGAATATTTTTGAGGATAAAGTGGCTGTAGAACACTTGATTTAAGCTCATAATTCAGGGGGTAGTAATTTGTGTATGTTGCTCTGGTGAGTTTAAGATGTATCGTACAGAACATACAGTGCAGACATTCACTGACATGCTGTTGCTTTTCTTTTCCAGGTTAATGTGGAATACACAGAAAAGACCATCTCTATCAGCAACTACCCACTCTCTGCTGCTTTGACTTGTGCCAAGATCACCACAGCCTTTGAAGAGATGTGGGGAGTGGTGTGAACTTACTAATGCAATGTGGACTTTGTGCAGTTGGACTTAACTGCTTGCTCCAAGTCCTGGAGCAATGTGCGCTACAGGGTTCTACCTGTAAGAATTGCCTCATGTTTTGTTGGGGGGCATAAATAAATGTTTTTTTTTATTGTGGTGGATAGTCTCAGTAGAGAGGTATGTAAGCAGCAGGATGGCACTTATGTGTTGCTTTGGTTGGTATACACCTCATTAGGCATTTCAAGAGGTCATTTGAATATACAGCTGTGCTTGTTCAAAGTAAGATGGGAAAAACAAACCTGAGTAGGAGCAGTGTCAGGGATCTACCCCTGCTTGCCTTCTCTTAGGTGGCAGGCAAAAAGAAGTGTCTGCCGATGCAGACAGGTTAAAATATAGCAGGAAAAAAGATTTTTCTGCTCAGTTGGTGTTGTATAAAAGGACATGCAGCAAAGTACGAAAATGAAGTAGCAACCTTAGTGTGTATACCTATAGCACAGTAAATCTAAAGCCCTTCAGATATTGTTCTGCTGTCATTCCCAGTGTCTCTGGCCTTTTATGATAGCCCCATAGCCAAGCTGTGTCCAACAATAGCTGGAGGGTCGCAGCAGTTGTTACAACAGAGGATCATCCTTCGATTTACCTAAAACAGTGCGGGTGGGCCTGCAGTCCCACATACTCCTGTGTAGCTTATGAACACCACCAACCTATCTTTCCCCTTGCCTACAAAGCTAGGAGACAGAAACAGCACCAGCTTCCCCAGCCGGTTTGTTTTTTAAAAAGCAGATGAGGCACGAGTGAAAAACCAACTGGGACCAATTTTATCTAACAGAATTGGAAAGTAGAAAAAGTCAGGCGGTGGCTCCATTCCTAGATGGCAGCTGCGTCAAGTGCTTTACAATCATCTGACATTTCCAGAGACTGGAGTGTCCGTAGGGAGAAGTTGAGAGATAAGGCAACCTGTAGAAGAGGGGAGGGAGTT